TTGGTATGGCTGTTTTGCAGGCCACACCTGTGGTGTCCACTCTCTAAAAACGAAGCCGAATGAAATTTTCCCGGGCTTTGCAAATGGGAAGGGAGGGAATGTTCGGCTTGGATAAAGGAAAGCGCACGAGCGTCTTTTCAGAATTTTTGCTCCAGTTTTGAAAAGCCGCCTTCATCCTCCTCCTGTAGCCCCTAGGTCTGGTCAGGATCCAGGGTGGCCAGGAGGATCTCTCTGTTTTTATTAGTATTATTCCCTTTCATACGCACAAAAATAATTCTCGCCGTATTCTTTGTTACGTTGGGGAATTGCTGGCTTCTTTTGCTAACAAGAACGGTGGGCGAATGCTTCACCTGGGCCAAGGAACGCTCTGCTTTGTTGTTGTGTAACTTCGCACTTGTAAAGGTTTTAATTCTCACATAGTTGAGAGAGAGAGAAAATGAGAAAGAGAGAGAGGAAAAGAGAGGGGGAGAGAAAGAGGGAGAGAGAGAGAGAGAACTGTTGAAGTAATGATTGATTCAAACTGTTAAGCTGGTGAGTTTTCCTCCAAACCTACTTTCAGACTTTTGATCCTGGCTTGTCTGTAATGCCCACCCATCGGCGACTCCAGGCCAAGCCCCCTTTGTTCTACAAGAGGGTGAAATTAGCTCCTGAAGAAATTCCCATTTTTCTCTCCCAGAGCCAAGCATGCAGTCTTCCGAGGATGGGTCCAATTCGGCCACCCCCGTGGCGCTGCGCACTTCGGCCTCCGTCCAGCCTGTCCCAGCCTCCCAGCAGGTAAGGCCTCTCCTCTTTGGCCGGCGAAGACCCACCTGACCCCCTGGACTCCTCGCCTTTGTAACCACCCCCAGGCCCGTCTTCTTGGTTATCTCAAGCAAAGCCGCTTGGACTTCTGGGAGTTTTTACTTTCTGCAACGCGTGACATAACATCTCCAAGCTCGCGAGTCGGGAGAGACGGTCACCTAGGTCAAGTTGAATGTAGGAGCAGAGCGGCACCAGCCAACAACAACAACAATAATAATAAAGTTGGAAGGGGCCTTGGAGATCATCTAGTCCAATCCACTGCTCAGGCAGCAAACCTGTTCAACAATGCCTCCAGTTTGGATTGACACAATATATATATATATAAAGATGTGGAGACTCTAGAAAGAATGCAGAGAAGAACAACGAAGATGATTAGGAGGCTGGAGGCTGAAACATCCGAAGAACAGTTGCAGGAATTGGAACCCGCAACCTAATGGGAAGAAGAACTAGGGGACAGGATAACAGGGTTCCAGTATTTGAGGGGGCTGCCCCAAAGAAGAGGGGCAGGGGGTCCACCTATCCTCCAAAGGACCTCCAAAGCACCCCAAGAAACAACAGAGGGAAACTAATCAAGGAGGGAAGCAACCTATCATCTTTTCCCCAAATTAAGACATTTCCTCAAAATAAGCCCTAGCTTGATTTTTACACCTGCAGCTAATATCGGCCCTACCCCCAACATAAGCCCTAGTTTGGGGGTGAGGCGCATGCGTAAAAATCAAGCTGGGGTGGGGGGCTGGGGCTGCCCCATGTACCTCAAACTCACCTTAGGACCACTGCAGCCAGGCGTCCCTCTCTCCGACACCTGTCACTCCACTGCGTGAGTTCTTCTGCCGCCGCTTGCGGCTGCACGCCACATGGTGCATCACGCCAGTGCCACCACTCGCAGCAGGAGGGCGTGCGGCACATTGCGCCTGTGCCGCTGATCATGCACGCCATGGCACAAGGCTCCATGCAGCCTCCTGCCGCTCGCAGCAGCACCGGTGTGATCAGAGTGGCATGCTGCAAGCGGTGACAGTGGCACAATGCGCAGCATGCCATGCGGCCACAGAACAACTCGGGGCGTGGGAGGCCTGGCTGTGGCGGTCCTAAGGTAAGCAGGTAAGACACCTTCCGAAAATAAGCCCTGATGCTTCTTATTGGAGGCAAATATATGTAAATTTAAATTTTGCTGACAAAGAGTTAAAGAGAGACTAGTATAGCTATTTCGAGCCATTTGGCTCTCATCAGCTAGCCATACCCTTCTGAGATTCGAACCTGGGCAGCTTGCATGTTAGGCAGCTGTATTAACCTCTAGGCCACAGGTTCTCCTCACTTCTGTCAGCTAAAACCAGGGAGGATACATAGTTAAGTGTCTGATAGAGCACCTGGTCTACCGCTATGATTACTTTTGCCTTTCAGCCCCAATCTAGGAGCGTTTTGCAGGCTCAAGTCGCTACTGCGATAAACTGTTTCTGTAAATTTAAATTTTGCTGACAAAGAGTTAATATAGCCATTTCGAGCAATTTGGCTCTCATCAGCTAGCCATACCCTTCTGAGCTGAAAGACAAAAGTAATCATAGCAGTAGACCAGGTGCTCTATCAGACACTTACTATATATATATGACCGGGTCTTATTTTCTGGGAAACACAGTAGAACTCAGGAAGAATTTCCTGACGGCGAGAAAAATTAACCAGTGGAACGGCTTGCCACCAGAAGTTATGGGCGCTCCATCACTGGAGGTTTTGAAGAAGGGACTGGACAGCTGTTTGTCTGAAATGGTATAAGGCAGGGGTCTTCCAGCTCTCATCACCCGGCCTCTTGAAGGAAGACGGCGACGTCAAACCAGGAAACGAGGCTAGAAAAGACCGACGGAAGAGGAGAGCTTCCCTATCCGGGAACACTCAATCTGGACTCCATTGCATTTCCTGTCACTCAAAGTCACGCGTGCCTGGCTGAGGAATTCTGGGAGTTGAAGTCCACAAGTCATCAAAGGGCCAAGTTGGAAGACCCCCTGGTCTACGGTGTCCTGCCTTGAGCAGCGGGTGGGACTAGAAGACCTCCAAGGTCCCCCCCCCAACTCTGTTATTCCAATAGCAAAAAGCCAGGATGAGTCTAGGGGCCTTTTTTCCAAGTCACCAATTTTAATTCATTGCTTGCAAAAGTTTCTGCTTTTTGGAATTAAAATTTTGCGTAGTTCCAAACCTTCGTTTGCTCTGAGCAGAACAAGTATGAGGTTTCCTGTTGGGGCCAAATGACTTTGAGTGACAGGAGATGCAATGGAGTCCAGATTGAGTGTTCCCGGATAGGGAAGCTCTCCTCTTCCGTCGGTCTTTTCTAGCCTCGTTTCCTGGTTTGACGTCGCCGTCTTCCTTCAAGAGGCCGGGTGATGAGAGCTGCCCCATGGTGGGGCTGTGGAACCATTGAGTGACCGGGTCAGAAATGTCCAGGGATAAAGCCTTAGAAACTTTACGCGAGGCGGACTTCCAGCTCCCAGAATTCCCCAGCCAGCCAACATGGCTGGCTGGGGAATTCTGGGAGTTGAAGTCCACCTCGCTTAAAGTTGCCAGCTTTGAGAAAGAGTAGCATCAGGCACTGAATGCATCATACAGATGGCTGGTTAATTCAGGCCAGGGTTGAATTAAGGCCAAACCACGATAGTATGTCCTGATAAACTGGGATTTACTAACCACCCTAGCACCTCAGGTTTAGAAACTATGATCCGTTTCAGCCATCGTGCGCCCCCTGGTGCATTTCCTAAAGAACTACAGGCAATACCACTTTACAAGGCCTTGGTAAGGCCACACTTGGAATCCTGCATCCAGTTTTGGTCACCACGATGTAAAAAAGATGCTGAGACTCTAGAAAGAGTGCAGAGAAGAGCAACAAAAAGGATCAGGGGACTGGAGGCTAAGACATATAAGGAACGGTTGCTGGAATTGGGGATGTCTAGTTTAACGAAGAGAAGGATGAGGGGGGACAGGATAGCAGTCTTCCAGTATCTCAGGGGCTGCCATAAAGAAGAGGGAGTCAAGCTATTCTCCAAGGCACCTGAAGGCAGGACAAGAAGCAACAGATGGAAACTAATCAAGGAGAGAAGCAACCTGGAACTAAGGAGAAACTTCCTGACAGTGAGGATAATTAGCCAGTGGAACAACCTGCCTCCAGAAGCGGTGAATGCTCCAAAAACTGGAAGTTTTTAAGAAGAGACTGGACAGCCATTTGTCCGAAATGGTATAGGGTTTCCTGCCTGAGCAGGGGGTTGGACTTGATGACCTCCAAGGTCCCTTCCAACTTTACTACTACTACTACTACTACTACTACTACTACTACTACTACTACTACTACTACTATTATTATTATTATATCCTCAACTTAAAAAAAATCATTTAAAAAGTGACTTTACCCCCTTCGTTCCCCACTTACCAACCTTTGCGGCATTCCCAGGGTCAGGCGATCAAAACTGGAGACGCTCAGCGACTGGTTCGCACTTGACGGCCGTCACCGTTTCCCAAGGTGGACCCCCTTCTGCCGCCTTTCGGCGGGCAAAATCCAGGGGGAAGCTGGACTCGCTTAACGACCGCGTTGCCAGCTCAACCCCCGTAGCGAGAAAGGTGGCAAAACCCGCTTAACAACTGTCTCACTTAACATCAGAAAACGTTGATGTTCAGTTGGGGTTGTAAGGCGAGGACCACCGCTTCTTGATAACCTACGGCAGCAGCTTCCCCCCCCCCAGCCTTTTCGGTGCCAGGGACTGGTTCTGTGGAGGCTGGTTTTATCACGGACCGGTGTGTGTGTGGTGTTGGTGTGTGTGTGTGTGTGTGTGTGTGTGATTTCACACATGCATGGATCCTGCGTGTGTCTGGTTTCTGCTTCGCTCGCAGGGCCCAGTTGCTGGCAGGTCACGGACCCGTGATGAACCTCAGCCTGGGGGGGGGGTTGGGGACCCCCGACTTATGGCCCGTGGGCTGAAATGCTGGTGGTCAATCCCCTCAGCCTCCCCCAACTGACTCCCCCCCCTCTTTACTTTCTGTTTCTTCCTTTTCCCAGAGAGTTTTGGTCCAGGCCACGAGCTCCACTCCCAAAGGCGTGCCCATGCCGGAGTTGACGCTGCCCAGAGCCCAGCAGGTAAAGTCTCGGGGGGGGGGCAAAGGGGGGGCTCACCCTGCTTCACCCCCCGCCTTCCCCTGGAACAGGGGCTCAGCTTCAGGAGCTACTGACAGGGAAGAACGCGGGAGAGCTTGCAGCCTGCAAAGGCTGGTTTTCCAAATCCGGAGGGAAAAAAACCCCCCAACAACTTAGATACAGGCAGTCCTTGACTTACAACAAAAATGGGGCAGAACTCACTTAAGGACTGCCTCGCTTAAGGACTGCCTCACTTCCCCAGATATATTTCTGGGCTCCGTTGGGGTGGTAAGTGGAGGGAAACCTGTATGTGTTCCTAATGCCACCTTGTGGCCAGAAATGAGGGCTGTATTGTTTTCCACGCACCACACACACACACACACACACACACACACAACACACGCCAGTCACCTTGAAACAAGGGAAGGTCAGGCTTGCTTTGTGCGGCAAAGCCAACAGGAGGATCCCCTCTTCCAAGGCCGGCTTTCCACCACCGAGTTTTTCCAAGCCGGTTCCTTTACTGCCAAGTGGGAAGCCCAAAGCAGCCACGGGCTACTTGCTTACCAAATTTTTTAATCTGGAACTTTTCTGACTAACTCCGCGGAGCTGCCTGCTCCCCTGGGATCGCACCAAGTCTGCCAGACAGTGCAGGGAAGGGGAGCCTCGCCACCTTTGCACTGTCAAGGCTGTAGGCATTTCCGGGCGCTCTTCCTTGCAAGGGGCGCGACGGCTCCCAGGTCCCTCCGGATCGGCCACAGCCACTTCTGCGGAGAGGGGTGATGGACACCTGGAAGGGAGGCTTCCCGGATCACCGTTGCCTTCCCGGCTAGACCGGTCAAACGGGAGCCTGGTTTTAATTTCCAGTCTTTTAAGGTTTGGCTGGTGCTTGGACATCTGTCAAAGTCCAGCATTATTTTAAGCTATGACAAGAATATGAGGGAGGGAAGGAGGGAGGGAGGACGAACAGAGGGAAGGAAGGGAAGGAAGAAAGAGGGAGGGAGAACAGAAGGAAAGAGAGAAGAAAGGCAGGGAGGAGAGGAGGAAGAACAGAAGGAGAGAGAAGGAAGAAAGGGAGAACAGAAGGAAAGTGGAGAGAGAGAGGGAGGGGGGGAGGAAAGGAAGAACAGAATGAGAGGGAAGGAAGGAAAGGAAGAAAGAGGGAGAACAGAAGGAAAGAGGCAAGAAATGGAGGGAGAGAGGGCGGGAGGAAAGGAAGAACAGGAGAGAGGAAAGGAGGAAAAGGGAGGGAGAAGGAAAGAGGGGAAGGAGGGAGGAAAGGAAGAACAGAGAGGGAAGGAAGGAGGGAGGGAGAGAACAGAAGGAAAGAGGGAAGAAACAGGGAGGGAGAAAAGGAAGAAGAGAAGGAGAGAGGAAAGGAGGAAAGGGGAGGGAGAGAACAGAAGGAAAGAGGGAAGAAACAGGGAGGGAGAAAAGGAAGAAGAGAAGGAGAGAGGAAAGGAGGAAAGGGGAGGGAGAGAACAGAAGGAAAGAGGGAAGAAACGGAGGGAGGGAAGGAGGAAGAACAGAAGGAAAGCAGGTGAAAGGGAGGAAGAACCAAAGGAAAGAGGAAGGAAGGGAGGGAGGAAAAAGGGAAAAAAGGGGAGGGAGGAAAGGAAGAACAGAAGGAAAGCAGGAGTGAAGGAGGAAGAACAGAAGGAAAGAGGGAAGGAGGGAGGAAGAACAGAAGGAAAAAGGGAGGAGGGAAGGAGGAAGAACAGAAGGAAAGAGGAAGGAGGAAGAACAGAAAGAGAGGAGGGAGGGAGGGAAGGAGGCTCCGGGACGGGCTGATGTCCAGAGGGATCAAAATGGTCCCCTTTTGACGGCCCTTTTTGGACTGAGTTCTGTGGAATGGATCCGGCCACTCCGGTTCCCGAGGGCTTCCCCCCTTCTCTCCTGGAACAGGTGAGGCTGGTCTGTTCCGCCCTGTGGGAAGAGAGCCCGCCCCCCCCTCCCATGTGAATATCTCCCCCCTTTCCTCCTCCAGGTGCAAACGGTGCAGCACGTGTACCCGGCCGAAGTCCAGTACATCGAGGGAGGAGAGGCCGTCTACGCCAACGGGACTCTGTAGGTGCCCCCCTCCTCCCCCTCCCTCGCCCGCTCTCTCTCTCTCTCTCTCTCTCTCTCTCTCTTATTCTCTCTTTCCCTCTCTCTCTCTCATTCTCACCTTCTCTCATTCTCTCTCTCCCTATTTTTTCTCCCTCTCCTCTCTCTCTCTTCTCTGTCCCTCACCCTCCCCCCTCTCTCTCCTTCTCTCATTCTCTTCCCCCTCTCTCCTCTCTCTCTCCCTCTTTCTTTCTCATTTTCTCCCCCTCTCCCTCTCTCTCCTCTCTCTCTCTCACTCTTTCTCTCTCTCCCTCTCCCACTCCTCTCTCTCTCCCTCACTCTCTTTCTCTCTCTTCCTCTCCCCCCTTTCCCTCTCTCTCCCTCCCTCTCTTTCTCTCTCCTCCCCCCTCTCCCTCTCTCTCCCCTCTCTCCCTCACTCTCCCCCCTCTCTCTCCTTCTCTCCCCCCTTTCTCCCTCTCTCCTCTCTCTCTCTCCCTCTTTCATTCTCTCCCCCCCTCCCTCTCCCACCCTCTCTTTCTCTCTCCTCCCCCCTCTTCCTCTCTCTCCTATCTCCCTCGCTCTCTCCTCTCTCCCTCACTCTCCTCTCTCTCTCCTTCTCTCATTCTCTTCCCCCTCTCTCCTCTCTCTCTCCCTCTTTCTTTCTCATTTTCTCCCCCTCTCCCTCTCTCTCCTCTCTCTCTCTCACTCTTTCTCTCTCTCCCTCTCCCACTCCTCTCTCTCTCCCTCACTCTCTTTCTCTCTCTTCCCCCCTCTCCCTCTCTCTCCCCTCTCCTCTCTCTCTCCCTCGCTCTCTTCTCTCTCCCTCACTCTCCCCCCTCTCTCTCCTTCTCTCCCCCCTTTCTCCCTCTCTCCTCTCTCCTCTCTCTCTCTCCCTCTTTCATTCTCTCCCCCCTCCTTCTCCCACCCTCTCTTTCTCTCCAACTTTGTCTCCCAAGCTTGGAATCTGGGTGCCAAGAGCCAGGAAGGCAGCCTTTAAGCCAAGATTCAGAAACCATCGGACAGGTCAAGAAAGCAGAAACCTTCCTTAAGATCCTGGGAGCTCCCGGGGAAAGAAGAGGGGGGACCAGAAGGGGCTGGGGGGGAGGAGGGGGGTCCTCTCCACTCACTGGGCTACAGAGGGAGGGAAGGGGAGGCACCACCAGCCTGGCTAGATTTGCTAACAAGACTCCATCTCCTGGTCTGGTCTACCTCGTGGGGCTGGCGCTGGGAGGGGCCAGGGGCTTCTAAGACCCTTAATTACTTCCAAGGGGGGGGGCAAACTAGGTGGGGAAGAAGGAATGGAAGACTCCCTGAGAACGAGGGGGGGAGGAGGGTCCAGCTCTTTTGGTGAGTCTGGCTGGGGGATTCTGGGAACTGAAGCCTAACCATCTTCAGGTCCCCAAGATTGAGAGACAGGTAACCCTCAACTTACCAACAGTTTATTTAGTGCCCGTTCAGAGTTACAACAGGATTGAAAAAAGCGACTCACGGCTCTCTTTCACACTTACGACCGGCGTAGCACCCCCATAGTCATTCAGAAGCTGGGGAACTGACTCGCATCTGCAGCCCTCCATTTACAACCGTATCTTTAGCGGCCGTTCAAAGTGATACCGGGCCGTGGAGAAAAAGTGACCGATGACCGTCATTTCCCACCCTTCGTGACCGTCGCGGCATTCCCCCCCCCCCGCGGTCATGTGATCAAAGTTCAGATGCTTGGGAACTGACTCGTGTTAACGATGGTCGCAGTGTCCCCGGGGGGGGGAGAGGCTAGGGTGATCCCCTTTTTGCGGCCTTCTGGCGAACAACGTTCAAGGGGAAGGTCGGGTTCGTTTCACCACCGTGTTCCTCGCTTCACGACGGCAGTTGGTTCGCTTACCCACGGTGGCCGGAAAAGTCGTAAAACGGAGCAAAAGCCACTTAACAAGTGTTTCAGTGAACAAGAGGAATGTTGGGCTCAATTGTAGTCGTAAGTCAAGGACCACCCGGACACTGGTCTAGGATAGGGGTAGGCAACCTCGGCTTTTTTATGACTCATGGACTTCAACTCCCAGAATTCCTGAGTCAGCATAGCTGACTCAGGAATTCTGGGAGTTGAAGTCCATGAGTCATAAAAGAGCCAAGGTTGCCTACCCCTGGTCTAGGAGATGAGGTCTCTCCTAGAGAACTGGAGGGGTGGACGATCCCCGGCTGGGGGAGGGGGTATCCCCCACTCTTGGGATTTCGGCAGCCTTGATCCCAGTGTCGGTCTGTTCCGCAGGCTAAGGGAGCTTCTCTCCTCCCCCTCCTTGTCTCCTTCTCGGCAGGCGCGCCACCTACACCTACAACACCGAAGCCCAGATTTACGCCCCCGGAAGCGCCTCGGCCTACTTTGAGCCGGCGGGGGGCAACGCTCAGGTGAGCTCGGGGGCTTCCTCCCCCACCGCCCTCCCCTCCCACGGCATGGTGGGCCTCGCCTTGGACAGCGGGGGCAGCAGCCAGATCGTCACCAGCTCCGGCACCTATCTCATCCACGGCGGGATGGAGAACACCCGGCACACCTTGTCGCACACCTCCCGCTCCTCTCCGGCCACGGTAGGTCCAGGGGCACTGGGGGGGGGGCTCCGTCCCGACGGGGCACTGGTGGGGAGTGAGGGGCGCACCTTCCCAATTGCCCACTCCACCGGGGGACGTCCTTTTTCCAAACTGGTTTTCAGTTTCGCTAAAGGCTGAGATTTAGCAAGAGAAGTTGGAGTTAACGGTGGAACTGCTGACGTCCTTGCTGATGTCTGAGCTGAGTAGCTTTCTTGTAGGCGTTTCATGACCCAAGTAGGGAACGTCATCAGTCCTAGTTAGGGAGTGAGATTTGCAGGGAGGAGGAGGAGGAGGAGGAGGAGGAGGAGGAGGAGGAGGACGACTGTGGGGTCTTTGTTGCTGTCTGAGCTGGGTAGTTTTCTTGCAGGCGTTTCGTGACCCAACTAGGGAACGTCATCAGTCCTACTAGGGAACGTGATTTGCAGAGAGGAGGAGGAGGAGGAGGAGAAGGAGGAGGAGGAGGAGACGACGACTGTGGGGTCTTTGTTGCTGTCTGAGTGGGTAGTTTTCTTGCAGGCATTTCATGACCCACCTAGGGAACATCATCAGTCCTACTAGGGAACGTGATTTGCAGAGAGGAGGAGGAGGAGGAGGAGGAGGAGGAGGAGGAGGAGGAGACAACTGTGGGGTCTTTGTTGCTGTCTGAGTGGGTAGTTTTCTTGCAGGCGTTTCATGACCCAACTAGGGAACGTCATCAGTCCTACTAGGGAACGTGATTTGCAGAGAGGAGGAGGAGGAGGAGACTGGGGGGTCTTTGTTGCTGTCTGAGCTGGGTAGTTTTCTTGCAGACATTTCATTACCCAACTAGGTAACATCATCAATTCTACTAGGGACTGTGATTGGCCAGGGGGAGGAGGAGGAGGAGAAAGAGGAGGAGACAACTGGGGGTCCTTGGTTCTCTCTGAGCCGGGGAGTTTTCTTGCAGATGTTTCGTGGCCCAGCTAGCTAACATCATCAGTGTTTTGGTCATGAAACGTCTGCAAGAAAGCCACCCGGCTCAGAGAGCGCCACCCCTGTAAGGCGTCCCAGATCTGTTGGCTAAACCAGAGTGGCGACCGAGCCCTGGGCAAGCACTTCTGCTGTGTTGCCGAGAGGACCGCAGAACTGTAGCTACAGAATGAAATCCCCGGGAGTCGCGCTTGACTCGTGGGAAATAATCGCCTTTTGAAATCACCCAGGGCTAGGAACTTGGCCCTCTGTGCGGGTTGCAAGCAGGTGCCCCCCCTTCCTCCGTCCCCCGTCCCCGTCCTTCTGCGTCTGCTGTCGTGCCCCGTGGCTCCCTTCGCATGCCAGGCTGCGCCGTCCCCGTGTGTCTCTGCCACACTAACCCTCTGCTGCCTTCCGACGTTTTGCTTGGCCCGTTTTGGGGAGAAACAACACCCCCCCCCCGAGGGCAATTCCGGTGCTGATGCCCCGTGTCTGATTTGCCTTTTTTCTTCCTTTTTCTCTGTCTCTTTCCATCCGGCTTCCTTGGGGTAGCTCGAAATGGCCATTGAAAACCTCCAAAAAAACGAAGGCATTACGTCGCACAAAAGCACCCTCCTGAACAGCCATGTAAGTTTTGATTGCCCTCCCTCCCTCTCCCACCCCCCCACCCCCGGCTTTGCGTGAGCCCCTGAAGAGGAGGGGTGTCACCTAGGGTGGGCTGGCGTGGGCCAGTGGCCAAGCCAGCCCCAGGGAGGGGTTGTTGTGTCTGCCCCGCTGGGCTCGCCTGTCTGGTCCTGTCCCGTCGTCCTCGAGCTGCGGAGACTTAGCAAGAGAAGAAGAAGATCCATAGTGAAGGGTGGAACTCTTGAGGGTGCTCTCTGAGCTGGGCGGTTTCCTTCCAGACGTTTCATGACCCAACTAGGGAACGTCATCAGTGCTAGAAGGGAAGGAGGGGGGGCTTGCGGAGAGGAGGAAAAGGAGGAGGACTGTGGGGTCCCTGGTGCCGTCTGAGCCGGGTAGCTTTCTTGCAGACGTTTCCTTACCCAGCTAGGTAACGTCATCAGTCCTACTAGGGAGCGCGATTTGCAGGGAGGAGGAGGAGGAGGAGGAGGAGGAGGGGGAGGAGGAGGGCTGTGAGATCCAGGAGTCCTTGGGGTCCTTGGTGGGGTCCTTGGTGACCTCTGAACTGCGTGGTTTTCTTTGAGATGTTTCCTTGCCCAACTAGGGAACATCATCAGTCCTACTAGGGAGTGCAATTTGCAGGGAGGAGGAGGAGAAGGAGGAGGAGGAGGAGGAGAAAGACTGTGAGGTCCAGGAGGAGGACTGTGGGGTCCTTGGTGACCTTTGAACTGCATGGTTTCCTTTCAGACGTTTCCTTGCCCAGCTAGGGAACGTCATCAGTGCAAGAAGGGAGTGGGGCTTGTGGAGAAGAGGAGGAGGAGGAGGAGGAGGAGGAGGAGGAGGAGGAGGAGGAGGAGGAGGAGGAGGAGGAGGAGGATGATTCTGGGCTCTTTATTGATCTCTGAGCCTGGTGGTTTTCTTGCAGACATCTCATGACCCAACTAGGTAACGTCATCCGCGCTAGTAGTTTTTTGGAGTGGAAGAGGAGGAGAAATGGAGGAGGAGGAGGAGGATTGTGGAGTCCTTGGTGCTCTCCGAGCTTGGTGGTTCCCTTGCAGACGTTTCATGACCCCACTAGCGACTGTCCTCAGTGCTTTGGTTAAATGAAATTTACCAAATTCCCCCCTCCGTGCCAATGAGCCCCCCCCTCAAGGAGAGACCTGCCTTGCTCTTTCCCGGGCCCGATCAAAGGACGCCTGCTGCCCAGGCCGTTAAACAGCACAAAAAACTCCTGGGAACTGTTTTTGTTTCCCCTTTTACCAAGAGTGTAACTTTACTCAGGATCCCGCCTGGCTCCGGAAGAAGGAAACCCGTTCTAACCGTTTCCCACGACAGCCATACAGGGGGGAACTTTTGCCTTTTTGCCCCCGGCTGTCCGTTGTCTACCCATCGGTTGCATCTGCTTTATTTTTTGGGGAACGGCCTGTCTGCCTCGGAGGTTCCCAATTGACGGGTCGTTGGGTCCGTCTCAGGCTTCCGGGTGGAACACTTAATAATAGTAATAATAATAATAATAATAATAATAATAATAATAATAATAATAATAATAAGTCAATTGCCAAAGGCGGCCTTATTAGGAACTGCTTCCATCCTGCGACGATATCTGTAATACCATCAAACATCCACATCTGCCTATCCCAGGTCCTGGGTAAGGACTCGATAGGTAGACAAAATGCCAAATCCAGTCTGAACATCTGGCTGACTGTGCGATGATCCATAATAATAATAATAATGTAGAAATAGAAAGACTGTGGCAAAAGCAAGCAAGGGTAGGACCAATAGTCATAGGCTCCTTGGGTGCAATTCCAAAACAACTGGAGCACCACTTGGACACCATCATCGGCATTGACAATTTCGCTACTAGTCAATTGCAAAAGGCAGCCTTACTAGGAACCGCTTCCATCCTGCGACGATACCTGTAATACCATCAAACATCCACATCTGCCTATCCCAGGTCCTGGGTAAGGACTCGATAGGTAGACAAAATGCCAAATCCAGTCTGAACATCTGGCTGACTGTGCGATGATCCATAATAATAATAATAATAATAATAATAATAATAATAATAATAATAGTAATAATAATAATAATAATAATAATAAGTCAATTGCAAAAGGCGGCCTTATTAGGAACTGCTTCCATCCTGCAACGATACCTGTAATACCATCAAACATCCACATCTGCCTATCCCAGGTCCTGGGTAAGGACTCGATAGGTAGACAAAATGCCAAATCCAGTCTGAACATCTGGCTGACTGTGCGATGATCCATAATAATAATAATAATAATAATGTTGGAAGGGACCTTGGAGGTCATCTAGTCCAACCCCCTTGCTCAAGCAGGAGAACCTACGGAGTTCTGGACAAATGGCTGCCCAGTCTCAAAAGCCTCCAGTGATGAAGCACCCACAGCTTCTGGTGGCAAGCAGTTCCGTTGGTTAATTGTCCTCACTGATAGGAAGTTTCTCCTTAATGCCAGGTTGCTTCTCTCCTTGATTGTAATAATAATAATAATAATAATAATAATAATAATAATAAAGTTGGAAGGGACCTTGGAGGTCATCTAGTCCAACCCGCTGCTCAGGCAGGAAACCCTACACCATTTCGGACCGATGGCTGTCCAGTCTCTTCTGAAAAACGTCCAGTGTTGGAGCATTCGCCCCTTCTGGAGGCAGGCGGTTCCACTGGTTAATTGTTCTCGCTGTCAGGAAGTTTGCATTCCAGAGTTCCCCCCCCCCCGCCTCCCTTTACATGCCAATGCCTTCCTCTCCCCCACGCACACACACTTAGAGTTGTGGGGGGGGGTTGCAAACGGGGCTGCGTAGTGAGTCAGCCATGACACCTGTGTGTCTCTGTCGGTCCTGACATCAAGCTGTAGAGAAGCCTTCGCGCCCTTGTCTCTTTCCTCTTGGCTTCTAACTGCCCCCCCTTCCTACTCAGGAGCCCCCCCCTTTTCCTTCTTGGGGACCCCTCCCTCTTTCTCCGCCTCGCGCTTGCCTTCCCCTTCTCTTCGCCTCTCAGGCTCAGCTCCTCACGTCTGGGCTCGGCTGGGTGGGTGGGATGCATTGCTGGGGACGGCACATCAGACTCCAACCCCCTGGCCGTGGTCTGTAATCAAACAGGGTGGCACGGGCGACGCGCAGTCGCGCACAGGCGAAGCTCCGCTCTCACGAGCACTGGGCCCTTCTGCTCGCCTGTGAATGGAGGGCACACACACACACACACCTGCCACTCACACACCCTCTCACCCGTGGTGGGGAGGGCCACCAAGGCGGAAAGGTTGGGGACTCCTGCTCCATGGGGTTGAAGCGGTTTACAGAGTTAGCCTCTTTGTACCCAGAAATCTGGATCCTCCTTTTCCTGACCTCGGAAGGACGGAAGGACGAGTCGACCTCGAGCGGGTCAGGATCGAACTGCTGGCAGTGGAAGAGATTGCCTCCAACAGGGGTCTTCAAACTTGGCCCTTGTAGGACTTGTGGACGTCAACTCCCAGAATTCCTCAGCCAGGCACGCATGCCTGGCTGAGGAATTCTGGGAGTTGACGTCCACAAGTCCTACAAGGGCCAAGTTTGAAGACCCCTGGCCTACAATATGGTTAGTCCTCGATTTACGACCGCAATTGAGCCCAAAATTTTTGTTCTTAAGTGAGACATTTGTTAAGTGAGTTTTGCCCCCATTTTACGATCTTCCGTGCCACGGTCGGAAGGTCGCAAAAGAGGATCCCATGACCCCGGGACAGGGCAACCGTCATAAATATGAACCGGTTGCCAAGCATCTGACTTTTGGTCACGTGACCAGGGGGATGCTTTGAAAAACGGTCGTAAGTTTGAACGGTCACTAAGTAAACTCTTGTAAGTCGAGGGCCCCCCTGTACTGCATTCCAGATGGACGCTCCCAGCATTGTCCTGCCGGAGGAGCCCTCCGGAGTGGGGCAGGGCTGCTGGGGGGCGGGTGGGTGGAGGGTGAAAAGAGGGGTTCTGGTAGATGGGGGGAGCCCAGAAGGTGACCCCCCCTCCTCCTCCCCAGGAGACTGAGCAGCCAAGCCTTCTCCGGGTTTCTGATATGTCCAGACCTGGGATGGTCCTCCTTGGGATGGTCCATCCTCTGATCTGGCCTTCTCTTTTCTCTCTTTTCTTTTTTCTCTTTTTTTTCTCTCTTTTCTTTTTTCTCTTTTTTCTCTTTTTTCTCTTTCCTCGTTTCTTTTTTCTCTCTTTTCTCTTTTGTCTTTTTTTTCTCTTCTTTTTTCTCTTTTCTCCCTTTTTTCTCTTTTCTTTTTTTTCTCTTTCCTCGTTTCTCTTTTCTCTTTTTTCTTTTTTTCTTTTTTCTTTTTCTCTCTTTTCTCTTTTTTCTCTTTTCTCCTCTGTTTTATCTTTTCTCCCTTTTTTCTCTTTCCTCATTTCTCTTTTTTCTCTTCTCTTTTCTCTTTTCTCTTTCCTCGTTTCTTTTTTCTCTCTTTTCTCTTTTGTCTTTTTTTCTCTTCTTTTTTCTCTTTTCTCTTTTCTCCCTTTTTTCTCTTTTCTTTTTTTTCTCTTTCCTCATTTCTCTTTTCTCTTTTTTCTTTTTTTCTTTTTTCTTTTTCTCTTCTCTTTTTTCTCTTTTCTCCTCTGTTTTATCTTTTCTCCCTTTTTTCTCTTTCCTCATTTCTCTTTTTTCTCTTCTCTTTTCTCTTTTCTCTTTCCTCGTTTCTTTTTTCTCTCTTTTCTCTTTTGTCTTTTTTTCTCTTCTTTTTTCTTTTTCTCTCTTTTCTCTTTTTTCTCTTTTCTCCTCTTTTTATCTTTTCTCCCTTTTTTCTCTTTCCTCGTTTCTCTTTTTTCTCTTTTCTCTTTTCTCTTTTCTCTTCTTTTTTTCTATTTTCTCCCTTTTTTCTCTTTTCTCTTTTTTCTCTTTTCTCCCTTTTTCTCTTTCCTCATTTCTCTTTTTTCTCTTTTCTCCCTTTTTTCCCTTTTCTCTTTTTTCCCTTTTCTCCTTTTTTCTCTTTCCTCATTTCTCTTTTTTCTCTTTTCTCCTTTTTTATCTTTTCTCCCTTTTCTCTTTTTTCTGTTTTCTCTTTTCTCTTTTTTCTCTCTTCTCTTTTCTTCCCTTCCCTTCCCTTCCCTTCTCCTCCCCTCCCTCCCCTGCCCTCTCCTCTCTCACCCCCTCTCCCCTTCCTCCAAGCAGTTGCAGTGGCTGCTGGACAACTACGAAACGGCCGAAGGGGTCAGCCTGCCCCGCAGCTCGCTCTACAACCATTACCTGCGTCACTGCCAGGAGCACAAGCTGGATCCGGTCAACGCCGCTTCTTTCGGGAAGCTGATTCGCTCGGTCTTCATGGGCCTGAGGACACGTCGGCTGGGCACCAGGTCTGCAGGGGGCTGTATGGGATGACTCGCCATGGGAGGACTCGCTGCAGGACAAGAGTGACATTTATGTCAAAGAATTGGTGGAGTAGAATCGCTAACGAACGGGGGCCAAAGGAGGGACGGAATGAAATGGCCCAAATTAAAAGTTTTTTTAAAATTATTTTAAATAATTAAATTGAATTGGTTGAATTGTCCCGCAGCGAATTGGCCATGGTGAGTTGTCCCATTCCAGTCTGGCAAGGGTTGGGGGTCGGGGAGAGACCCTGGAAATTTGGGGACTGAGTCCACTTCCGCGGGAAAACCCTGCCCCTTCGGCAGCTGCCATCTTACTTTTTTTTGCCCCCACCCCCCCAGATACCTAGCAGCTCCAAGCCCAGAAAGGCCGAGCTGGATTGGGAGTTCCATTTTGCGAGCCACTCAGGATGCTTTTCTGCTTCTGTACCGGCCTATTATTTTAAGCCTTTTTCTACGGCGTCCAAGCTGCTTTTCGAGAAGGATTTCCCGGCCTTTGCTGCGGGGGACTGTGGGAAAGTACAGGTCAAGAGACGGGGAGTCTCCTAAACCCTCGTGGGCATCATGTCACTTGCACGATGTTGTCAGAACGGAGCGTGACGTCACGGCACCCCCTCCAGGAGGAAGAGGGTAATGAGGATGGAGACTGCAGGAGTCCAATCCCTCCAGTGGGGGGAGCTCCCGAGATTTTTTTGACTTCCAAATGTGGTCGACTTAACAACCACAATCGGGACCAAAATTTCTAAGCAAGTCACTTGTTAAGTGAGTCGTACATCCCACCATTTTGCGACCTTTTTGAGCCAAGGTGTCGTGGTTCCAATAGATGAAACTCTTCCAAAGAACCTCGAGGCGTTGTTTACCTTAAATAATCTTTTATTCGAGAAACAAAGTACATAGTTGAAGCCAAAAACTAAATTCCCTTCCCCTGGTGTTCTGTCCCAGCCTAATTGTTAAATGTACAAGGACAAAACCCCTTTTGAGAAATAGGCTAGAGACTCAGAAGAAAACAAAACCCCTTTTAATATGGGTAACAAACCTGACAAATAGTCCAAAAACAAAAGCGAGAAAACACAATCCAAATGGAGGAAATTGTCCACACACGAAACACAAGGCAAAACAAGGAATTATTCACCGGCAATAGCAACAGAACATGATCCCATGAAGTCCTTTGCAACGGTTGCATTCAGCAACCAGCACCGTCTACACCTTTCCTTTTTATTAAGCAGCCTCAAGGCGTGGCTTCTCAATGCCTTCTCCTCCTGCCTTGGAGTTGCCCTATTGATTCCCTCTGACCTGCTCTAGTTAATTGAGCGTCTCTAATGACTTCCAGCAGTGAGTCCTCAGAATCTGACTCATCTTCTCCACACAGCTGTGTCTCATCCTCTCCACGATTGGAGGGGCCAGGCCAGATTGTGAGTCTTGTAAATCATCAGAGCCTCCCTCTGACTCTGATGGCTCTCCCCGGGTCCACTGGCTGGCACTGACTCACAACACCTAGATACAAAGTAACAAAGCACAATTCCCTCCTCCAAACAACAGTCATAAATCAAATTCCCCAATTAGCTTGAAGCGCTATCAGCTCTGGGCCCAATGACCTTGGGTTCCCACGGCTGAGCTATTATTGTTATGACTAGCCGGACTCTCATCCACATTCCCCCTCCCAGCAGCAACTAACTCTAAAAGCAATAATGCAGCGTTTCTCAACCTTGACAATTTTAAGGCATGTGGACTTCAACTCCCAGAATTCCACAGCCAGCAATGCTGGCTGTGGAATTCTGGAAGTTGAAGTCCACATGCCTTAAAATTGTCAAGGTTGAGAAACACTGCAATAGTGGAAAACGGATGCATTTCCATCTGTTGTCAAAGCAAGAACATCCGATGTTAGCAGCGTTGACGCACGGTTGCTAAGCGAATCGCATGCAGTCATTAAGCGAATCTGGCATCCCCCATTGACTTTCCTTTTCGGAAGCTGGCCAGAGGGGAGGGGCATCGCAAATGGCGATCGAGCGATCCCGGGATGCTGCAACGCTTCGTTTAAACTTCCTTTTTATTTTGGGGGGGCGGTTTTACAGTTTTGTACAGCCTCGAGTAGCCTGGCGAAAGAGGCAGCAAATGAATTTAACCACAATAACAATAATAACAATAACAACAGCTGATAAACAGAAGCCGCTTGCCAAGCACCCAAATTTTTGATCAGGTGACTGCAGGGTCATAAGTGGTGAAAGATCAGTTCACAAGTCACTTTTTCTCAGTCGTAACTTCGACCGAGTGGTTGTAAATCGAGGACAACCTGACGGGGGCGCCAAGGGGGAGACCCTTGGTGGTGCCAGCCTGTTACCAAGTGGGGGGGGGTGGCCAACGTCTGGGAAGGATTTTGGGGGGTGGATTTGCAGAGCCCTCTCCCCCTCTCCGATCAACCCCCCAAAGCCCGTTCCCGGGATGGCTGCCCCCACCTCTCTTCTTGAAAATAACCCATGGCCCATTATCCTCCGCAGGGGGAACTCCAAGTACCATTACTACGGGATCCGTCTCAAGCCAGAGTCGCCCCTGAACCGCTTGCAGGAAGATGCTCAGTACATGGCCATGAGGCAGCAGCCGGCCCACCAGAAGCAGAGGTAGGAGCCCGGCCCTTAGCGACAGCTCTTGGGCGGGGGCAAGTGGCTAGTCCTCATGAAACTGTTCGGAATGACAGAAGGCTTTTCAAACCGGGGCAGGAGAAGACAAACACACGGAGCCCGAAAGAGAATTAATTTCACGGTCTTCGGGTGGCTTCCTCAAAATGTTAAGTCAGGTGTGCAACTACAAGCCCCATCGCTTCAGCCAGAAAGCCCGTGTATTGCCGGCTTCCCTCAAGGAAATTGGGAGCTTCCAGAAGTTCCATCTGACCAGCTGTTTCCCCACACACACACACACACAAACTCACTCACACACAGCTAGGGATCAACCTATTTTCCAAAGCACCTGAGGGCAGGACAAGAAGTAACAGATGGAAACTTATCCAAGGGGACTCCAGCCTAGAACGAAGGAGAAACTTCCTAACCGTGAGACCAATTGATCAGTGGAACAACTTGCCACCAGTGATCCATCACCCAGATGGGTGATCCATCTCTGGAAGTTTTTAAGACGAGATTGGACAGCCGCCTGTCTGAAATAGGTATAGGGTCTCTTGCCTGAGCAGGGGGTTGGACTAGATGACCTCCGAGGTCCCTTCCAACTCTGAAATTCCGTGATTCTGTAAGGGTCTCCTGCTTGACCAGGGGGTTGGACTACATGACCTCCAATGTCCCGTCCAACTCTGAAATTCCGTGATTCTGTAAGGGTCTCCTGCTTGGGCCAGGGGGTTGGACTAGATGACCTCCAAGCTCCCTTCCAACTCTGTCATTCTATGATTCTGTAAGGGTCTCGTGCTTGAACAGAAGGTTGGACTAGATGACCTCCAATGTCCCGTCCAACTCTGAAATTCCGTGATTGTGTAAGAGTCTCCTACTTGGGCCAGGGGGTTGGACTAGATGACCTCCAAGGTCCCTTCCACCTCTGAAATTCCGTGATTCTGTAAGGGTCTCCTGCTTGGGCCGGGGGTTGGACTAGATGACCTCCAAGCTCCCTTCCAACTCTGTCATTCTATGATTCTGTAAGGGTCTCGTGCTTGAACAGGGGGTTGGACTAGATGACCTCCAAGGTCCCTTCCAACTCTGTCATTCTGTGATTCTGTAAGGGTTTCCTGCCTGAGCAGGGGGTTGGACTAGATGACCTCCAAGGTCCCTTCCAACTCTGAAATTCCATGATTGTGTAAGGGTCTCCTGCTTGGGCCAGGGGGTTGGACTAGATGACCTCCAAGCTCCCTTCCAACTCGGTTACTCTGTAAACCTTCTTTGCTCGAAAAACCTCCGCAGCTCCTTCTCAAGGTGAAAGCAGCCTCTTCCCCCCCCACCTTGTTCTGCAGGTACCGGCCTTCCCAGAGGTTGGACGGTGCAGCTGAGGGAGGGGCCGTCAGCTCCCCCACCCCGGAGGAGTCCGTGGCCGCCCAGTGTCAGCACCACCAGCAATACATCGGTGAGAAAAAAATTCTGCTCTTTCCGGCAGTCTTTCCAGCCCGGTGTGCCACTAAGTTCGTTTCACGGGACCCCAAAAACGCTTAAGATTTTATCTGATTTTGATTACGGTACTTATTAAATTTATTTCCCGCCCTCTCTCACTGTGCCGAGCCGGGGGGGGGGGGAGGAAAAAAACCCATTGCTTTGGGAGAAACTTGCCAGGGTGGAGGGGTGGGGGCGGCGGGAAGCTGAAGGCGTGAACAGGGCAGACCTTGGAGATGGATGGTGCGTAAATTTAATATATAAACAAATTTGCATCCCAGGCCAATGATTGGACTTGTGCAAAGCTTTGGAGCACAGCTATTCCTGCCGTTCCATTGAGGGACCGTTCAAAGTTGCAACGGCACTGGGGGAGGGGGGAAAAGCACTTATGACCATTTTTCACACTTAACGACCGTTGCAGCAGCGTCCCCCAGGATCATGTTCAAAATTCAGAGCTGGGCAGCTGACCCGTATTTACGACGGTTGCGGCCTCCCGGATTCACGTGATTCCCCCTTTGCAACAAGCAAAGTCAACGGGGAATCCAAATTCACTTAACGACCATGTTGTTACTAACTTCACGACTGCAGCGAGTCCCCTTAACGACGGTGGCCTCGTAAAATGAGGCCAAGTGGAAATTTGGGTCTCAGGTTTGGTTATTGAGGTTGGGGAGGAGGGGTTACCTGTAATATATTAACGAATAGTGGTAGTGTCATGATTCCGACAGATTAAACTCTTGAAAAGAACTTGAAGGCATTGTGTCAAGACTGCTAACATCAGATGTTCTTGCTTGCCATATATGAAGAAGTAAACCTATTTTATTTGGTCTGTATAGCACTTCTAGAGTTAAAGCAGATAATACTAGCCTAGTGGATGGGAAAATATGCTAGTTAATCATAAAAATGTCTGAGCACAGTGTTGCCAAGGTCAGTTGTAACAGGGGCACTTCACACTTCGCATTAATTGGAGAATGTGATTGATGACTATAAAATGAAGGAGTGAGTTATGCTTTGTTACGGGTATTTGGGGGAGGGAAGATTCAGTTTTTGGCTTAACTTTGTTAGTGCCAAAGCTATGCAGAAAATAAAGGATTCTTTAAGGTGAATAAGCCTCAAAGTTCTTTGAAAAGCTGCTTCTTTTCGGAACCATGACACATTGTTTACTTTAAAGAATCTTTTATTCGAGTAACATAATATCGGCACTACATAATCGAAGCCAAAAACTGAATTCCCCTCCCCTGGGCACATAGGATCGAAGGAGAATTCCCTACTCCAATTAACTGCCATAAATCACATTCCTCAATTAGCTTGAAGCACCGGCTTTCTCCTCAGCTCTCCAGCCCGCCCAAACGCTATCAGCTCTGGGCCCAATGTCCTTGGGTTCCCAGGGCTGAGCTATTATTGTTATGACTAGCTGGACTCTCATCCACATTCCCCCTCTCAGCAGCAACTAACTCTAGAACAGTGTTTCTCAACCTTGACAATTTTAAGGCATGTGGACTTCAACTCCCAGAATTCCACAGCCAGCATTGCTGGCTGTGGAATTCTGGGAGTTGAAGTCCACATGCCTTAAAATTGTCAAGGTTGAGAAACACTGCTCTAGAAGCAATAGTGGAAAATGGCTACCTTTCCATCTGTTGTCCAAGCAAGAACATCCGAGGTTAGCAGCATTGACAGGTAGATTATCCGTGGGCAGTGAGCGTCTGCCTAATTTGGCGGACGGTATAAACAAATTGGCCACATTCACAGGAACTACCTCGTACCGATCCTGATAACAACAGTGGCACACATCTATGGTGACTCTTGGTCATTCAGGTCGTAGCTATCCCAGGGATGCTTTTTTTCAGGAGGAAACTGGGCGTCCTTGTTTTTCCTTTGAAGACCTTTCGCTTCTCATCCAAGGAGCTTCTTCGGCTCTGACGGGATGGCGGGGAAGGGAAGAATTTTATATTCCTTGCAGTCATCTGCTCATTAGTTCTCTTTCTGAGAGTCGTTGAGGCCACCTGGAGGTTTATCTCTGTGTCCTCAGGGTCACCTGAGTGGTGCAAAGGGGTGTGCAGGATTCTTGGAACTGTCGAAAGGATTGTGTTGTAGACTGCAGACAGACATTGTCGTATCCCCCCTCCGTTTGTTGAGAGGGCTGTTCAGTTTGGACCTACATGCCCTCTTGGACCCCTCTCTCAAGCCAGCAGTCCCCTCTGTCCAAAATGTGGACTTTCCTGTCCTCGAAAGAGCAGACTTTGTCTTTATCAACGATCTGGACAAGGGGATAGATGGGGAACTCATCAAATTTGCAGACAACACCGAGCTGGCAGGAATAGCCAACACTCCAGAAGGCAGGCTTAGGATACAGGAGGATCTGGACAGACTTGAACACTGGGCGCTATCCAACAAAATGAAATTCAAGGATGAAAAAAGTAAGGTTCTACATTTAGGCAAGAAAAACCAAATGTACAGGTATAATATAGGGGGTATCTTGCTCAATAGTAGCAACTGTGAGAGGGACCTTGGAGTCCTAGTGGACAATCACTTACATATGAGCCAGCCGTGTGCTGCAGCTGCCAAAAAGGCCAACACAATGCTGGGCTGCATTAACAGAGAGATAGAATCAAAATCAGGTGAAGTGTTAATACCACTTTACAAGGCCTTGGTAAGGCCACACTTGGAATCCTGCATCCAGTTTTGGTCACCACGATGTAAAAAAGAGGTTGAGACTCTGGAAAGAGTGCAGAGAAGAGCAACAAAGATAATCAGGGGACTGGAGGCTAAAACATACAAAGAACGGTTGCTGGAATTGGGGATGTCTAGTTTAACGAAGAGGAGGACAAGGGGGGGCATGATAGTAGTGTTCCAGTATCTCAGGGGCTGCCCCAAAGAAGAGGGAGTCAAGCTCTTCTCCGAAGCTCAAGAAGGCAGGACAAGAAGCAAGGGATGGAAACTGATCAAGGAGAGAAGCAACCTAGAACTAAGGAGAAACTTCCTGACAGTGAGAACAATTAATCAATGGAACAGCTTGCCTCCAGAAGCAGTAAATACTCCAACACTGGAAGTTTTTAAGAAGAGACTGGACAGCCATTTGTCCGAAATGGTGTAGGGTTTCCTGCCTGAGCAGGGGGTTGGACTAGATGACCTCCAAGGTCCCTTCCAACTTTACTATTACTATTATTACTATTATTATTATTATTTTAAATGCAGACGGGTGGCTGACTCTGGTCCTGACGGGTTGGTTCTCTCTGTTGTGCCAAGCGCTTGTGAAGTTGTCGTTTTGTTTCCCCAATGCAGAGATCTGCCCACGGCTCCCTGCATTGTACTGCACACGCCACGTTGCTCAGTTTGTGTCTGGGTGTTTCGTCCTCGGGGTGGACCAGCTTCTGCCTGGGTGTATTCGTGGGTTTGAAGTGTTGCACCTATGTTGTGCTGGCTGCAGTGATAAACAAAACAAAACAAAAAAACCCTCCCAAATCATTTTTTCTTTCCCTTGCCCTGCAGATGTCACTCACGTCCTGCCCGAGTTCCCAGTCCTGAATCCGGACACCGTCCTCCTGCAGGAGGGGATCGAGACCAGCGACCTGCAGGCTCTGGAGCTCTTCTACCGCCGGCATTGCGAGGTGATTCTCACACACATCCAGGGGCCACCTTTGGAGGGGACCCTCCTGGGAGCCCACCATGTTTGCCTCGCCATGGGGCACCCGTGGGATGATCTCAGGAGCAGCTCTCTCTCTAAGTCTCCCCCATGACAACAGACAGGCAGACAGACAGAGAGAAAGAGAGAGAGAGAGAGATGATAGATAGATAGATAGATAGATAGATAGATAGATAGATAGATAGATAGATAGATAGATAGATAGATAGATAGACAGATAGATAGATAGACAGACAGATAATCGAGAGAGATAGATAGATAGATAGATAGATAGATAGATAGATAGATAGATAGATAGATAGATAGATAGATAGATAGATAGATAGATAACTGGTAGATAGATACAGACAGACAGACAGACAGATAATCGATAGATAGATAACAGATAGATAGATACATAGATACATAGATAGACAGACAGACAGACAATCGATAGATAGATAGATAGATACTGAGAGATAGAGAGAGGTAGATAGATAGATGAATGGATAGATAGACAGATAGATAGATAACTGGTAGATAGATAGATAGATAACTGGTAGATAGATAGATGGATAGATAGATAGACAGACAGACAGACAGACAGACAGACAGACAGATAGATAGATAGATAGATAACCGGTAGATAGATACCGGTAGATAGATAGATAGATAGATAGATAGATAGATAGATAGATAGATAGATAGATAGATAGATAGATAGATAGATAGATAGATAGATAGATAACCCTTATTGTCATTTTTTTACTGTGGGCACAACGGCACACATTAAAAATGAAATTTAGTTCCTTGCTCTCAAAGCATACACGTACCTAACACACATTTTAAACAAGCTATATGCAACATATGTATAGACCTACACCTGTGGTGGCGAACCTATGGCACGGGTGCCACAGGTGGCACTCAGAGCCCTCTCTGTGGGCACGTGCGCCATTGCCCCAGTCCTAGGCCTTCAGCTGGGTTTTATAAAACCTTTTCGCTTGAGGCCTCCACTGCCGTGTGCCCCCCCCCCAAAAAGGTTCAGTTAATCAATCAATTTCAACTTCTCGCGGGAAAAAAAAGGATCTCGCAAAGTTGGAATTGATTGATTGAACTTTTTAGTCCCACCTAGTCTGCCGTTACCCCTGCAGCCACGCCCACCCAATGGGCCACACCCACCCAATGGGCCACGCCCACCCGGCACCTGACACTACATAAGTGGGTTTTGGATTGCAGTTTGGGCACTCGGTCTCTAAAAGGTTCGCCATCACTGACCTACACCCTTACATATAAGCAGCATAGAAATATTGATCACTGTCCATCTAGATCTGATTTTGGGGGGGCGTCTGTCCCTGCAGGCCAACGTCGAGGTGGTGATGAGCCTCCAGCTGCCCTTCCTAGAGAAACTCTGGCGTTCCTTCTGGAATTCCGAATCCCTTCCGGGCCGGACGGGCACCGGCACCCCCGGGGCTTCCAGGTAACACCACAAGCAGGTGGCCTCGACTTACGACCGCAATTCCCCAGGTTCCCATTGCTAAGCGGGACAGTTGCTGAGCGGGTTTTGCCCCGTTTTAATGGCCTTTCTCGCCAGAGAAGTGACTCACCACAAGAGAGTCACGCGGTTGCTAACCGTTGACTTTGCTAAAGGGGGTCACTTGACCCTCGGGGACGCTGCGACCATCATAAATACGAGTCAGCTTGAATTTTGATCCCGCGACTGTGGGGATGCTGCCACGGTTGTAAGCATGAGAAATGTTAGTAAGTCACTTAATTTTCAACGCTGCCATCACTTCGGACGGTTGCTACACGAGTGGTTGTAAGGCGAGGACTGGATCCGTTTCAAACCCGCCCTGGAAGTGTAGGGGCCCCGGGCGCAGAGGTGAGCCTGGGAGCGGATTTTGAGGCAGAGGGACGCGAGACCCCTTTGACCGACGGGCTCTCCTGCCTTCCCTTCGCAGCGAAGAACCCTACGAAGCCGTCCTCCCCCGACACAAACTGATGGCCCTCTGCAAGTACGAGCTCGTCCTGGCCTGGATGCGAAGCTGCGACAACCTCTTGTACCAAACCCTGGTGGAGATCCTGATCCCGGACGTCCTCCGGCCGGTTCCCGGTGCGTGAAAGGGACGGTAACAGGAGGACCCAGACGGTTGGGGGCAAATAGGCGGGCTCGGCAAACCGCTTAGAGAGGGCTGTGAAAGCAGCGTGAAGCGGTATCTGAAGTCTTAGTGCTGGTGCTAAGTAACGAAATATTTGCAAGAAAACCACCAAGCTCAGAGAGCACCAAGCGCTACGTAGTTTCTCCCTGAGCTGGACGCCGCCTCTAGAACGCTGCTGATCTTCCCAGAGATCCAGCTTCGCCTAGAGGTCAGTCTTGAATCTGGCTAGTGCTGCAACAAGCAAGGATTCGGAGGGCGGCTAGATCAGGCCCATAGATCAGACTCACAGCTCCCTCTTTCTGCAGTAGCACCTCTTGCGGGCTGCCGTTGGGCCACCGTCCAAGATGGCGGACGTGAAGCTTCCACCGAGGGTCGGGCGAAAGTCTTCCCGTTGGGGCTCCCCGACTCGGCTGAGGCCGCTCCCTTCTCTTCCCCTGCAGGCACCTTGACCCAAGCCATCCGCAACTTTGCCAAGAGCCTGGAGAGCTGGCTGATGGGCGCCATGAGCGAGTTCCCGCAGCCCGTGGTGCAGAGCACGGTAAGCAAGCAGAGACGAAGGCAGAGGCCCTCCACGCCCGGGACGTGTGTATGTGTGTGTGTGTGTGTGGACCTTGTGGTCTCCCCAGAACAAAATCCCAACCCACAAGTCTGCAGGAACCTTCTCTTCCTGTTTTGAAAGGGGACACCGCCTTCTTCCCCTCTCAAAGACCAGCCCTAAAGGTCTGTGGAGGTTCTCCATCCTCCAGGTCACAGCTGTCCCATTTTTTTTTTCCAGGAGGCAACTGGACTTCAAAAGCCTCTTCAGCTCCGACGGGATGGCGGGGAAGGGAAGGATTTACACTCCTTGCAGTCATCTGGTCATTAGTACTCTCTCGGAGAGTCGTTGAGGCCACCTGGAGGATTGTCTGTGTCCTCAGGGTCACCTGAGCGGTGGAAATGGGTGTGGAGACTTCTCGGCTGCAGGATGGTTTTTTTTTCTGCCCTGGGTGCCTTCCCTGTGGAAGACGGGCGCAGGCTGTTGGGGACGAGTCCGTGTGGTCTGCATCTCAAACGGAAGCAGATTTACAGGAACATTGGGGAAACAAAACGAGCACTTCACAGGCGCTTGGCACAACAGAGGAGAACCAACCCACCAGGAGCAGAGTCAGCCGTCCGTCTGCGTTTGAAAGACAAAATCCGCTCTTTCGAGGACAGGAAAGTCCACATTTTGGACAGAGAGGACCGCTGGCTTGAGAGAGGCATCCAAGAGGGCATCTGGGTCCAAATTGAACAGCCCTCTCTCTCAAAAAATGGGGGGGGGATACGACAGCGTCTATCTGCAGTCTACAACACGATCCCTTCAGCAGCTCCAAGAAAGCTCCACACCCCTTTGCACCCCTCAGGTGACCCTGAGGACACAGAGATAAACCTCCAAGTGGCCTCAATGACTCTCTAAAGGAAGGCAAATGACCAGCTGTCTGCGAGGAGTATAAATCCTTCCCTTCCCCACCATCCAGTCAGAGCTGAAGAAGCTTCTGGGATGAGAAGGGAAACGTCTTCAAAGGAAAAACATGAGCCAAGGTGGCGCAGCAGGTAGAGTGCAAGTACTGCAGGCCACTTTAGCTGACTGTGTTCAGCAGGTCAGCGGTTCGAATCTCACCGGCTCAAGGTTGACTCAGCCTTCCATCCTTCCGGGGTAGGTAAAAGGAGGACCCAGATTGTTGGGGGCAATGTAAATATATATATATATACATTGCTTACTGGTGTACACCGCTTAGAGAGTGCTTGCACTTAAAGCGGTATATAAGTCTCATAAATAAATAAATAAATAAAATAAAAAACAAAGAAAGTCCTGGGAAAAAAGCACCTCTGGGACCAGCCCTAAAGGCTGGCTTGACCTCTGCAGCTGTAGCCCCTCCGACACGCAGTAGCACAGTAGAACAAGTGATCACAGCCTCAATACATTGTTAAATGTATTATTTTAACACAGGGTAACTCTGGGCGCCTTACAACATTACCGAGATAAAGCTATACAAAACCTATAGGCCACATAAATAAAATACTATAAAAGTCCAAGCTATTTCCCAAGGCGCCCGAAGGCAGGACAAGAAGCAACGGATGGAAACTAAGCAGGGAGAGAAACAACCTGGAACTAAGGAGAAACTTCCTGACAGTGAGAGCAATTAGCCAGTGGAACAACCTGTTGCGGGTCACCACCTCCGATATACACAACATAAATATGACCCCCCCCCCAGAAAATTGCATATACCCACATATATTCTATGACACAGAGTAACAACACAGTGTAGTTCGGATATATACATATACCAAAAAGAGAAGCAACCTAGAACTAAGGAGAAACTTCCTGACAGTTAGAACAATTAACCAGTGGAACTCCTTGCCTCCAGAAGCGGTGAATGCTCCAACACTGGACGTTTTTAAGAGACTGGACAGCCATTTGTCTGAAATGGTCTAGGGTTTCCTGCCTGAGCAGGGGGTTGGACTAGATGACCTCCAAGGTCCCTTCTGACATTATTATTATTATAATTATCATCATCATCATCATCATTATCATTACTATTATTATCGATCATCGCACAGTCAGCCAGATGTTCAGACTGGATTTGGCATTTTGTCTACCTATCGAGTCCTTACCCAGGACCTGGGATAGGCAGATGTGGATGTTTGATGGTATTACAGGTATCGTCGCAGGATGGAAGCAGTTCCTAGTAAGGCCGCCTTTTGCAATTGACTAATAGCGAATTTGTCAATGCCGATGGTGTTCAAGTGGTTATTATTATTATTAGGAGTGAGCTGAGATATATTACCGATATTATCAACCACCCCGTATTTAATACGCACGAGCCGTTTCTGTTGACCACAAATTTATCTAATCGCCCACATCCAAAGCCGAAGATTCTTTTCTCCCCCCCCCCAATCTTGGGCACACAAAAAAAAGTTTCTTTTGAATTATAATGTCAATTTTAAACATCCTGGCCGGGGGGGGGGTTCGTGAGGGTCCCTTTGCTGGTTGAAAGGAGCCCCCCCGGGGCCCCTCCCTGTCCCCCGCTTCCCACCCGGGGCGCCTGACGCTCTCTCTTCCCCCAGGTGAGCGTAGTGAGCGCCTTTGCTCAGACCCTGCGCAGGTACACCTCTCTCAACCACCTGGCCCAGGCCGCGCGGGCCGTCCTCCAGAACACCTCCCAGATCAACCAGATGCTCAGCGACCTGAACCGGGTGGATTTTGCCAACGTCCAGGTCCGTCCGGGTCTCGGGGTCTCCCGGGGGTGTGGGGGAGCAGGGAGGCGGGGCGCCTGGTGGCCCCGGGCACACCGCTGGGTGGGATCGTATTCCGGCGCGCCTGTCGGATGCCCCCTCCCCCGAGACTTAAAATTTGAGTTTTCTTTGGCACAAATGTTGAGAATGTTGAAATGAGGGTAGGGGGTCCTGGGTGGGAGCGTGGGGGTGCTCTTGCGGACGTTTCGTGACCCAGACAGGTGACCCCATCCATGCTAGTGAATGTGGGCCGCTGTCCCCCTCCCCCTCCTCCCTTCTAGCCCTGATGATGCTACCTAGTTGGGTAATGAAAAGTCTGCAGGAAAAGCACCAAGCTCAGAGATCACCCAGGACCCCACTGTCTTGCTCCTCCTCCTCCTCCTCCTCGTCTGCTTCCTCCACCCACCCACCCCTTCTAGCACTGATGACGTTACCTAGTTGGGCCATGAAACGCCTGCAGGAAAAGCACCAAGCTCAGAGGGCACCCAGGGCCTCACTGTCTTCCACCTCCCTCCCTCCTCCTCCTCTTCCTCCTCCTCCTCCTCCTCTTCTGCTTCCCCCACCCCCCCCCCTTCTAGCACGGATGACGTTACTCAGTTGGGTCACGAAACGCCCGCAGGAGACGCACCGAGCTCAGAGGGCACCACGTTCAGGGCTCCCTTTGGCCCTGAGCCACAGGTCTCTTCTTGAGCTTTCAACCTTCTCTGGGTGTCTCCCCCCCCCCTCCCCCCATGGCAGGAGCAAGCCTCCTGGGTCTGCCAGTGCGAAGAGGGCCTGGTGCAGAAACTGGAGCAGGATTTCAAGGTGACGCTGCAGCAGCAAAGCTCCCTGGACCAGTGGGCCAGATGGCTGGACGAGGTGGTCACCCAGGTGCTGAAGCCGCACGAGGGCGCGCCCAGCTTCCCCCGGGCGGCCCGCCAGTTTCTGCTGAAGTGGTCCTTCTACAGGTAAGGCCCCTGCCTCGCCCCCCCACCCCACCCAGCCCCTCCTCCCCCGAGGACCAGAGAGCCCTGCGCCCTTGTGGAGAGACATGGACCCGAGGGGGCAGCGAAACTGACCGGTCCTGCAGTCTGATCTGCTGGCTTTCTACTTGCGGAGGATTCCCTCACTTGGAAGAGCGTGTCGTTGCACCGTTCAGTTGGAACCCCTGCCCACACCCATGGATATAAACACGCGCGCACACAAATGATGATAATGCATTAGTTGTAGTGATGTGACCTAGTTGGGTCATGCAACATTTGCAAGAAACGGCCAAGCTCAGAGAGCACCAAGGACCCCACAGTTCTCCTCCTCATCTTCCTCCTCCTCCTCCTCCTCCTCCTCCTCCCCCTCTTCCTTCTCCTCCTCCTCCTCTTCCTCCTCCTCTCCCCACACACCCCTCCTTTCTAGCACTGATGCTGTTACCTAGTTGTATAATGAAACAACTGCAAGAGAACCACCAAGATCAGAGAGCACCAAGGATCCCACAACTACTCTTTCTCTTCCTCCTCCTCCTCCTCCTCCCCCTCTTCCTCCTCCTCTTCCTCCTCCTCCTTCTCCCCCCCTCTTCCTTCTCCTCTTCCTCCTCCTCTCCCCACACACCCCTCCTTTCTAGCACTGATGCTGTTACCTAGTTGTATAATGAAACAACTGCAAGAGAACCACCAAGATCAGAGAGCACCAAGGACCCCACAACTACTTTTTCTCTTCCTCCTCCTCCTCCTCCTCCTCCTCCTCCTCCCCCCCCCCCCGGTGTACCACTGATGCTGTTACCTAGTTGTGTAATGAAATATCTGCAAGAAAACAGCCAAGCTCAGAACTCTGAGTTCAACCCTACAAATATTCCCTTCTATCAGCGCGTGCGCGCGCACACACACACACACTTTGCTTGCAGAGAGACCTTCCCAGAGCAGAAACAGTCCCGTTTCTCTTCCAAAACCAGGATGGGGCCTCTCCCCCCCCACCCCCCACCCCGTCCCACCCACCCCCCAGCTCTCAGACTCAGCTGCTGGACCCTTCTTTTCTTTCCCCCTCAGTTCCATGGTGATCCGCGACCTCACCTTGCGCAGCGCCGCCAGTTTTGGCTCCTTCCACCTGATCCGTCTCCTCTACGATGAGTACATGTTCTACCTGGTGGAGCACCGGGTGGCCGAAGCCACGGGGGAGACGCCCATCGCCGTGATGGGAGAGGTGAGCGCCGGGCACGTCTTGCCAGCAGCCGCGCAGGGAGCCACCAGAATCCCTCTGGTGGCTGGGTGAATAACGGAGCTGGAGGGGACCTCGGAGGTCTTCTAGTCCAACCCCCCGCTCCAGCAGGAGACTTTATACCAGTGGTTCTCAACCTTTTTAATGCCGCGACCCCCCAACCGGTCGTAAGCCGAGGACGACTCCACCGGTCGTAAGTCGAGGACTGCTCGACGGGTGCAGCGCAGTTTGCAGAATGGGATTTTTGGCGGGCTCAGCAGGGCAGAGACAGCCTGGACCATTCCTATTGGCTTTGGAAAGCCAATCGAATCAGACTCTATTCAAGAGAGTCTCTTCTATTGGCTTTCAAAAGCCAACAGAATAAAAGGGAGTAGCACAGCTAAGGAAAAGGGGGGAAAAATGGTGGACTGCGTTGTTTGGCGACCCCCGTGAAATGGTCGTTCGACCCCAAATGGGGTCCCAACCCACAGGTGGAGAACCACTGCTTTATACCATTCTGGACAAATGGCTGTCTGGTCTTTCCTTAAAAACCTCCAGCGATGGAGCACCCACAACGTCTGAAGGGGGAGCAAGCAGGGGGAGCCGCGTTCTCCTTCCTGCTTCTGGGCAGGTGGGTTGGCGGAGTCTCTTGCAGGACAGTAATCATGGCTGGGGAGGCCTTTTGGGGTGGGGGAAGCGTCCCCCCCCTCCATCCCAAAGGCTGTCAGAAACCCAGAGAAACGCATATGGACAAAAGCAAGGTGGACGGCCAGCCAGCTGGATGATTCTCCCTCTTTAAAACTATCTGCCCAGAGGGAGTGGAAACACCTTCTCCCTTTCTGGAGAGGCCTGCTCAGTTCAGGAAGACCCCCCCCAACCCCCTCCTCACCCTTCGGCCTCCCAGTGCTGGCTTTGCACCGAGACAGGAATCTGAATTTGCTCTAGTGCAGTGGTTCTCCACCTGGGGGTCGGGACCCCATTTGGGGTCGAACGACCATTTCACAGGGGTCGCCAAACAAGGCTGTCCGCCATTTTTCCCCCCCTTTTCTTTGGCCACGCCCCTGGCACCCAGTGATGTATAAGTGGTTGGGGGTCACCACAATATGGGGAACTGTATTATGGGGTTGCGGCATTAGAAAGGTTGAGAACCACTGCTCTAGTGGCCCATATCTGGCGCTCGGGTGTCGCATGAGGGTGGAGGGTCGTTTCCGAGCTGGCGGGTCGGTTTCCGAACGTTTCGTTCCCAGGCTAGGCAACGTCTTCAGCGGCGTTTAGGGGGTGTCTGTGTCGTTGTTCTTCGTGTGGTCAGTAGGCTTTGTGATGGGTCAGCTGTGGGTGCGTCAAAGTGAGGGACTTGCGATGGGCCTTGGGAGCCCCATTGAACCCCCGTCGTCTTCTCTTTTCCAGTTCAGCGACCTGGCCTCCCTGTCTCCGGCTATGCTCGAGAAAGGTACGGATCCTCTGGCCCTCCTCCATGGGGAGGCCTCTTCCCAGTCCGTTGGGGAGCTTTCTTCCCCCATTCTCCCAGGTTAAGGCTGGGCCTATCTTTCTCTTTCCCGCAGACACTTTCGGCGCCCTAGGGCACGAGGCCGGAGCTTGCAAGCCCCAGGTGAAGCGCGAGCACAGCGACCCCGGCCCGTCCTTGCAGGAGATCTAGCCTCCGGCCGATGGGCAGGTCCTGTGCCCCTCAACCCCGACTCTGCCGAGAGTGCCAAGGCTTTCCGAGTGATGCCCTGTGAGGACTCCCGGTCCTTACAGATGACGTTGTGCCTCTTGATTCCGTCTCGTGTTTACGGGTCTTCGCCAAAGACGGGCCGGTGTCCAGCAAAGACAGAGAAGGTCCTCGGCAGTCGGCCCGGTCCTTCTCTTTGCAAGGGCCCCCGGCCAGCTCTCCTTCACCCACCCCCAACCCCCGTCCTCCCTCCTGCTCTTTCTCTCTGCCTTAACTGACTCCACTCACCGAGGGGAAAACCTGCCGAGGTGCCACTGTGATCCAAGTCTATACGTGTCAATTTTGCGCCTCGTGAGAGAAAGGGGGGTTCGTCCGGCGTCCTCGCCGACTCTTGCTAAATAAATTGACACTGTGGCCAATCGTGAGCATGCGTCATTGTCCTTGAATCTCTCTTTGCCTGTCGTCGCACACAGCTAAGTACCGTCTTCTCCTGGGCCCACATGGGTCACCGCTGGAGGATGGATACTCTAGGACAGGGCTTTTCAACCAGTGGTACAGGTACCACTTGTGGTACATTGGCACCTGGCAGGTGGTATGCGACCATCCTAGAAAAGTGGTAGCAGGGGAGCGGAGCTTGATTGAAGAGTTGAATTAAAAAGAAATAGAGGCTGCTGTGCATGAGTTCTCTCTTTCTCTTTCCTCTCCCGCTCTCTCTCTTTCTCTTTCTCTCTTTCCTCTCTTTCTCTTTCCTCACCTTCTCTCTCTCTTTCTTTTCCCTCTCTCTCTCTTTCTCTTTCCTCTCTCTTTCTCTTTCCTCTCTCTCTTTCCCTCTCTGTCTCTCTTCCTCTCTCTTTCTCTTTCTCTCTCTTGCTCTCTTTCCTCTCCCTCTCTCTCCATCTCTCTTTCTCTCTCTCTCTGTCTCTCTCTTTCCTCTTTCCCCCTCTCTCTCCCTCTCTCTCTCTCTCTCTCTCTCTCCCTGTCTCCGATCTTCTGCTCACCTGGCAAACCGGCTTCAGGCTCTTCTCCAACAAGCTGACATACATTATTGGGCTGGCTCTGTCCTGCCCTTCCTGCTTCCTGCAGAGACGCAGCAAAGGGAGGAGCCCCGCCCAATAAGCTTGTCAGCTCGTCAGAGAACTGCGTGAGGCCACTCTCTTTTTTACACACACACATGCGGCTCTGGAGCCGCGGGTTGCCAACTGGTGCTCTAGGACGGTGTTTTGCAACCTGAGCAACTTGAAGATGGTGGACTTCTGGGAGTTGAAGTCCACCTATCTTTAAGTTGCTCAGGTTGAGGAATACAGTTCTCGATTACAACTTACAAAAGTTCATGTAGCGACCGTTCAAATGGCACTGAAAAAAGCGGCTTACAATTGTTTTTCAGACTTATGACCATTGCAGCATTCCCCCCCCCCCATGGTCACAGGATCAAAATTCGGACAGTTGGCAGCTGACTCATAGTTATGACGGTTGAAGTGTCCCGGGGTTACATGATCCCCTTTGGTGACCTTCTGACAAGCAAAGCCAATGGGAAAGCCGGATTCACTTAGCGACCGTGTTCCTCACTTAACAACTGCAGTGGGTTCACTTAACAATGGCGGCAAGAAAGGTCATAAAAATGGGGCAAATGTCGCTTAACAAACATCTTGCTTCGCAACAAAAATGTTGGGCTCCATTGTGGTCGTACGTCGAGGATTACCTGTACTCCTAGGACAAACAGCCACTCGACGGGAAGAATGGCAAAGCCGTCTTCCTGCAGGCACACTTCCCAGAATCCCCCAGGTTGTCGTGGTTGCGCCAGGAACCTCCTGTAGTTCTCCCAATCCTCAGCAAGCTGGAAACACCACAACCCTGGCAGGCAATGGTTAATCTGGCTGAATGTGCACAGGGACGTCTGTGTGAATCGGTGACCTATTTACAAGTTGGGTCTGTCTCAACTGCACACAGCTTTCAGTTGTGGGTGTGCAAGTATAGCCGAAAATGGGGACAACAAAGTTTTGAACCTGGTGATAAATGCAGCAACAAAGCGGCATACAAAATATTTATTTTCTTGGTGTAGATTCGTTCATTCGTTCATTCAATAATTGAGATAATAATTTAAATGATTTAAGCAGCCCCAAATAATTAAACTTTGAGCCGTGATGGCGCAGCGGTCCGAATGCAGCATTTGCAGGCTGACTCTGCCCACTGACTCTGCCCACGGGAGTTTGATCCTGACCGACTCAAGGTTGACTCAGCCTTCCGTCCTTCCCAGGTCAGTAAAATGAGGACCCAGGCTGTTGGGAGCAAATAGGCTGACTCTGTAAACTGCTTAGGGCTGTAAAGGCAGCGTGAACTGGTATATAAGTATTGCTATTCTCTCCCTCCTTCCCTTCTTTTTCTCCATTTTTCCTTTCCCTCCTCCCTCCATCTCTTATTTCCCTTCTCTTTTTCTCTCCCTCTTCTTTCCTCTCCTTTCTTTTTTCTTCCTTTCCTTCCTTCCTTCCTTCCTTCCTTCTCTTCCTTCCTTTCTCTTGAAAGAACCGTGATGGCACCGTGGTTAGAATGCAGCATTGCAGGCTGACTCTGCCCACTGCCAGCATGGCAGCGATGCCCACGTGTGGGGCACAGGAATGCTTTGCCTGCGAGGAACCATCCCCACACACTGCCCTGGGTTGACAGATGCATGATGCAGTGATAGGTAAGTAGGTAGGTAGGTGGGTGGGTGGGTGGGCGGGCGGAGGGACGGAGGGACGGATGGACAGACAGGTGGGTGGATAAACAGACAGACAGATGATTGAAAGATATAGATGATCATGATAGAGGATAGATAGATAGATAGATAGATAGATAGATAGATAGATAGATAGATAGATAGATAGATAGATAGATAGATATAGATAGATGAGAGAGAGAGACATAGATAGAGATAGATAGATAGATAGATAGATAGATAGATAGATAGATAGATAGATAGATAGATAGATAGGAGAGGGGGACAGATAGATAGATAGATAGATAGATAGATAGATAGATAGATAGATAGATGAGAGAGAGAGAGACATAGATAGATAGATAGATAGATAGATAGATAGATAGATAGATAGAGATAGACAGACAGACAGACAGACAGATAGATAGATAGATCATTGATAGATATAGATGATCATGATAGAGAACAGAGAGATAGATAAATGGATGGATGTATGAATGGATAGATAGATAGATAGAGATAGATAGATAGATAGATAGATAGATAGATAGATAGATAGATAGATAGAGATAGACAGACAGACAGACAGACAGACAGACAGACAGACAGACAGATAGATAGATAGATAGATAGATAGATAGATAGATAGATAGATAGATAGATCATTGATAGATATAGATGATCATGATAGAGGACAGAGAGATAGATAAATGGATGGATGTATGAATTAATGGATAGATAGATAGATAGATAGATAGATAGATAGATAGATAGATAGATAGATATAGATATAGATAGATGAGAGAGAGAGAGAGAGAGAGAGAGAGATAGATCATTGATAGATCCTGACCGGCTCAAGGTTGACTCAGCCTTCCGTCCTTCCCAGGTCAGTAAAATGAGGACCCAGATGGTTGGGGGCAAATAGGCTGAGTCTTTAAACCGCTTAGTGAAGGACTGTGAAGCAGTATATAAATCTAAGGGCTATTGGTAAGTGTGAAGGGAGGGAGGGAGGGAGGGAGGGAAGAAAGAAAAAAGAAAGAAAGAAAGAAAGAAAGAAAGAAAGAAAGAAAGAAAGAAAGAAAGAAAGAAAGAAAGAAAGAAAGAAAGAAAAAGCTGTGGTGGCACAGTGGTTAGAATGCAGCATTGCAGGCTGACTCTGCCCACTGCCAGGAGTTTGATCCTGACCAGCTCAAGGTTGACTCAGCCTTCCGTCCTTCCCAGGTCGGTAAAATGAGGACCCAGATTGTTGGGAGCAAATAGGCTGATTCTCTAAACCGCTTAGAGAGGGCTGTGAAAGCGCTGTGAAGCAGTATATAAGTCTAAGTCCTTATTGCTATTGATATGGGTGGCATATCGAATGGATGGACGGGTGAATGAATCTTCCATAATATCCCTGGGTGGCTCGCATCATCAACCCAGGAAATAAAAACAAGGCCAGAATATTAAAGCCCTCATGCATGGCAGTGCCATCGCACTCCCACGCTGAATGCCCCTGGGCTGGGTCCAACTCTCACCCTGGCACAGCCAGTCAAGGCCAACCAGCGGCCACCGGATTAAAGGCACTTATTCCTCCGACGTTCTTTGAAACATCCCCTGAATGTTAAATATATCCCACTCCCCAGATGTGGTCAGGAAGCAGCTGGGCAGCCCCCTCCTCTGGGAAACTTCCATTTGGATGCCTGCACCAATCCAGGGGTTGGACTAGATCAGGGTTTTTCAACCTTCTCACCCACTGTACCACTTTTAGGATATGGCAACATCCGAGAACCACCAGTCGCCTAGCAAGGGGTCAAAAACTTGACCCCCCCCAAAAA